AGAGGACAAACATTTGTTTCCATACATGCAGCTTTTCTTGTTCCACAGATAATCAAACGCATTAAAACAGAGTTTAATAATAACAGAACAACAGAAGCCCGAGTCAGAGCGCTCGCACACCAACAGGAGTTTTGTTCATCAGCTGTGAAACTTCAGTGTGAACTAAAGTAATCAAGCAGTGAGGATGACTCACGCTATTGTGAACCAGGGGATCAGTTACCAAACACAAGATGTCTGAACCTTTGCACGGCCTTTATCTTGTGATCAATACCAGCTACCTCCTGTTCCAAATGCTTTAGCAACAATTTCCAACAAGTCTTCACATTCAGCATCTCTGCTTTTACGTATAAAGCACAAGAAAGAGAAGTGAGTTTCCCAGAGGCTACTTTTGCTAGTGAGGCAACGCGGACTTTTATTTGACTGTGTTGGATTGACAACTTAAAGACCAGAAGAAGAAGAGGTCACCTGTTCAGGTAGAAGGAGAAGACGTTCTTCTCCACCTTCTTCTGCCTCATCATCATGTCGAACACAGGAACCACACCGTCCACAGAGATTTTGGGGTAAGCCATGCCGAGGATCCCGTCAAACTTGGCAGCGATGAAGGTGACGCCGGGCTGTTTGATGGCTTCACCGAAAAGCTGCTTCTCCACAGAAATGTCTCCAATCTGGAACGGCAGGAAGCAGGAGTTCAACATCTTCCATGACTACAGCTTACACTTCTTACATGAAGCTTACAGTGCACGTATCCTGACTGAGGTAACCTGACAAACTGCCAGATCCATACTGGATGGCGAAATCTGTGCCGTTCTTCACGTAAGTGCTGGATTTAGCAGAGTTGTACTTGTGGTGAAGCACTAAAGATAAAGAGAGATGGATGAGTGAATGCAGACAGGACCGGTGGAGCCGAGCGGCTCAGAGCTGAGGAGACTTACAGCAGGCGATGTCCAGCAGAGAGCAGTGGATAGAGGGAACCCACAGGTTGGAGGAGCCCGTATCAAACACCACGGTGAAGAGCTGAGGAGGAGTACCCAACCCGATCTCTCCATAATACTGAGCCTGGTCATAGACAACAGCAGGTTTAATCTAAACAGCAACCACCAGTTAGAGGATCCTGTCTGTCCTGATCTCCTCAGTGAGTCAGCATCACAGCTGTAACCGTCAGCAAAGGTTAGCAGAACTAAAAGTCACATTTTTACCCTGCCACGGCGATAAAAAGAGAAAAACTGCAAACAGGAAGTGATTACTCAACAAATTCATAACCGGAATCAAACTTCTGTCTCGTGTGACTGAAAACTGCTCCGTCGTTTAGGCCTCAGAGCAAAAAGGAGAAGTGGAACTGGATTTATTGGGCAAGTGTTCTTCTGAGGTTTAGTTTCACCTCAACATCCTCAGAGTTAAATCACCCATAGCGACGATTCACTTCAAAACCGCTCCGTCTAGCTGGAGTAAAAGCAGAAACACCATCAGAGTGTCACTGTCAGAGTTACAAATCAAAGAATCGAGCTTTCGGGGTGTGACTAACGTCATTTACATTCTCATAAAACATCTGCTGCGTTTCACTCTAAAAACAAGGAGAACTGGGTGCTGATGCGATGCTTTTATACATTTGAATGTTACTCTGGTGTTTGGTTAGTGAATTAGACCAGAACTGTTTATTTTTAAATGTTGTGAGGTTGTTTTTAACCGTTTGTAACAAACAACTACAGTAAACCAAACATCCCTCCTACGTTTGGTTTATGGTCACAAACTTGTGAAGGCAGGAAACAGTTTGTGTTTCTGTGCTAAACGCGCTTTGAGCTGATAAACACGAGCTGCAGCTTGTGTGAGTTACCGAACAGGAGTCTGTTCAGGTTGGAAAACCAGACATTAGGGATGATTTTTAAACCTGACTGAGACACAAGAGACGGGTAAGCATGTGCAGCCGCCCGAGGCTAACACACAGATGCCCTGAGGGGGTAAAAAATACCTGACAACTAACAGCAAACATCACGGGTATAAAAACTAACACTGTATAAAGCAAAGACGCTAAACTTCGGAGTAAAAATAACCTTCTCTGTACGACTGTTCAGCTAAAAGTCACACGTACTGACCTACGACAGGTCCTAACTTCAGCGGCGTCTGTCTCAGATTTTTTATCTCTGACCTACAGGTTGATGTAATCACCGGGTCAAAGCTGGTCAGCGTATTTGTTGTTTGGAACTAAAGTAAACAAACAGTCAGCTGATGAGAACCAGCAGGCTTACAGAGCAGAGTGGGAGCTGCCGTTCTGATCAGCATTTCTGGATAAGCACCACGCATTTCTCAACTCTGCTGAGAGGATCTACAGAAACACGCCGAGGCGTTTGGACAGGAGGGCCTTAGTTGGGTTTCTGTCACGGCTTCACTTCTTTAGAGAGCATTCATTCATTCATTCAAACAAACAAACAAAAACAAACAAACAGGTCAGTAATTCTACGTGCCGCTGCTTACATCAAGGTAGTTCTTCAGGGTTTCTGGCGTGGGAGTGTTACTGGTGGGGAAGCCCAGGTTGTACTTCAGGGAGCGCTCATCAGCCAGCAGCTCCTGAACAGACCTCCCAGAGTCGGTCAGCTCCCGTCTGATGGAACGGAATTTCCTTAAGGGGATTCTGAACAGGAAGAGACAAGTTAGTTAAAATTGTGGTAAAAGCCGCCACCACCACGACAAAACTCGAGTTAGAGCAGGACTTCCAGTCTGGAGGGTTTGGAAACGTTTTGTATCCAGACATGCTCAGACTGAGCCGAACCCTTCTCACCAACAACACGATGGCCGTTTCCTAAACCTTACCTCGGGTCGAACTACTTCTTCCTGCTTCTCTTCATGTTTATACAGAACAGAAAGCCTACTGCTTAGTTTGGGATCACCTAGGAATATGTTTGCCTATGGAAACACACGATTTATCAGAACAGTTAAAATAGCAAAGGGACGGGACATGAACACATCGTCAGAGCAGGAAATTAAGATTTTAATAGAGATGAAAGCCTTCTTTTAAGTTTGCTTGGTAGATAAATAAATGGATTTCAGTCTGCTTATTTTCTCCTATGTCCTACGGTAAATGGCCTGTATTTGATCTAGCGCATTCTAGAGTCCTGGAATCCCCCAAGGCGCTTTACAACACAATCAGTCATTCACACATTCACACCATAGTGGTGATGAGCTACATTGTAGCCACAGCTACCCTGGGGAGCACTGACAGAGGTGAGTCTGCCATCCACAGGCGCCACCGGTCCCTCCGACTACCACCAGCAGGCAAGGTGGGTCAAGTGTCTTGCCCAAGGACACAACAGCAGACTGAGCGGGGCTCAAACCTGCAACCTTGCGATTACAGGAGAGCACTCAACTCCAGTGGCACCGTCGCCCATATAAATCCTGATACATGCTAGGTGTGTTGTGGGTCACAGGGTATGGAACGGAGGAGCAAAATCTTTTACATTATGTTCTATAAGGAGTGGAAAGTGCAGAGGCTGTGAGCAGGACTAAATAAAAAAACATATTGGAATCAAATCTAATCTCTTCCAGAGGCCAACCCACGTTTTGAGTCTGACTATTTATTATTATTATTAATAATAATAACCATTTCCCAGAACATTTATCAGCTGTAGTTTTGTTTTTCCTTCAAGGAAGCCGCCTTTATAAAAACAATAACAAAGATGTCGCCAGGCTTTACGACCTTGTTATAAACACGTTTTATGGCCGTAGTGTGTTATTGTTGGTTGTGTTAATAAAGGATATTTTTGATAAATTGCTGCCTACTGGTGCTGTTTTTAGGTTCTGACTAGAGGGTAAGATTCTGCCCGTGCTCCCACTGAAACTTATATTAGCCTACAATAAATAAAAGGCTCTTTTCGTAGTTTAAACCCGGTGTCTGTAAACCGTGTAACGCGAGAGAAGGCCACTGTCGCCGGAGCTCCAGCGGATCACATGATGCTCCCAGCGGAACATGAGCATGAGGCTTTTACAGAATTAAAGGTTACAGGCCCGTTAAACTGTTAAACAACCGTTTCCATTGTGTGTGTGTGTGTGTTGGATGCTAACGCAGCTAGCAGCAACTTAGACCTATAAATAAAAGCTCTACGTTATCACCGTTTTGTCTTTAAACTTACCGAACCAGCGCGTGATTAGTGAGGGCCAGAGCCGCCAACACACACAGAAACAAGCTCCTCATCACGGTAGAACCAGAACCAAAGCCTCCAACCTGCAATGACTGAGCAGTTCGGCTTGTTGTTCAGACACAACCGACTTTTATCAGCTGACTTTAGTCACGTGCAGCCGGAGCTGCTCGTAGTGACGTCACGAGTGCTTTTTTAATTCAAGCAGTTTGTTCCTATAAGAAAAAAAGAGAAGAAACAAGACAGGACAGCTTTATTTCTATAGCACGTTTCCTACACGAAGGAAACTCTATGTGCTTTACAGAAACGGCACAGATTTTTTAAATGGTTGTTTAAGTTAAATTGTTTTTTACATAACTGTAGAGCTGGTGATCCAGGCAAAAATATAGTTAAAACTGCCTATCACGTTTTGTTCAAGTGTGCAAAGATCCTTTAATGTTCTAACAAATTCCTCATGTGAGCTGGTGTTAACACAATACGAATTAAATCAAAAACGTTGGATTCAAATTATTTCCCAGAGGCCAAAAGAGGCTAAATTTTATCTGGCTAAAAAAGAACAAACTGTAGTACCAGCTTTCAGACACCGGACGACCGCAACTCCCCAACGTGTTCTATTTTTTGCCAGTGGAGAGCGAAAATTCCCGATTCCTTGAAGGCAACAAAACACGTTTGGAATAATTTTGATGAATTGTTTTTACCCCAATAATAATAACAATAATAATAATAATAATAATAATAATAATAATAATAATAATAATAACACGTCACATTAAAAATAGTTTCTCCTTCTCCTTAAAATTATTAATTCCGAAGACTAAAAGAAATGTTGTTATTTTTAAAGCCTTCATTAAGATAAGGTGAATAAATATTCTCTTCAAATATGGCTAAAACATGATGATCCAGGAAGGAAAGAATGAGAAAACTAAAAGTGGCCTATAATGATGTTTTTTTTTTACATTTTTTAAAACTGCCAAGGTTTACCAGCGCGAGTCATATGTTTGCTACTCACCGTGTATCTGATTTGAAGCTGTAAGGAGACATTTTATGTGCAAATGTATGTGCAGGCTGAACATTTCTATTAGTTAAGGTTTTAGTTTCACCAAAACTTAGTTACACCGGATATACATATTTTTTTGGAGCAATGGATTACTTTTTTATATGTAATTAAAAATAGTTTACTGCCTGTAACGTTTTGATTTAATCTATAATGTATTTTTTTATGATATGTTTACGTTTTTATGTATTTTATCTTATTTTATACTGGACCAATGTGTCTGATAATATTTAAAACATATAAGAATAGTACCAGCTATCAGACATTGGAGGGCAGCAACCTTCCATCTTCCCTCTTTTTCTAAATGTTGTTGGAGGACAGTGTTTTCTTCCAGCAGAGAGTGCAAAATCCCCGTTCTGTCAAGGCAACAAGTGTTCGGAAGAATCGAGAGGAAATGTTTCTACTGAGTAGCATTTAAAATATATTTTATTTTATAAATCCAGTTCATTCATCTCCCTATACCCCTCCTTAATATCAAAGAGAATTAAAAGAAAGGCTATGATTTTGTAAGGCTTAATTAAGACAGGGAGGCTAAATATTTATTAAAATGGCTAAAAATAACACCGCTGTAGTTCTAACTTTCAGACATGGGAGGGCAGCATCTCCCCATTTTCCCTCCTTTTCTAAAAGCTGCTGGAAACAAGTATGTTGTTCTATTTTTTGCCAACAGAGAACGCCAATTCCCCAATCTTTCAAGGCAACAAAATATAGTGTTTGGAAGAACTTAAAGGAATTGTTTCTAATAAGAAACAATTTTAACATTAAAAATCTAGTCCCATTTGCTCCTTCTACTCCTCCTTCATATTGCTATTTTCAAGAGCACATAAATAAAGAATATTGTTTTCTTTAAGGCTTCATTAATAAAAGGCTGGTAAATATTCTCTGTTGAAATAGAATAATATAATGTAATGTAATATAATATACTATAATAATATAATATAATATAATATAATATAATATAATATAATATAATATAATATAATATAATATAATATAATATAATATAATATAATATAATATAATATAATACAAAAATGAACAAAGGTGTACTAACAGTTTTCAGGAGCTGAAGGGCAGCAACTCCCCATCGTCCCTTCTTATCTGAATGTTGTTGGAGGACAGAGTTGTTCTATTTTGCCAGCAGAGGGCGCAGTTCCCCATTCAGTCCAGGCAACAAAACATGTTTAAAAGAAATTAGTGGAATTGTTTCTACTAAGAAACATATTTAATGTAATAAATCCAGTTCCTTCATCTCCTTCTACTCCTTCTCTTTCTCCCTGTAAATGCATAATAAAAAGTGCTATAAGCCTGTAATTACTTTACTCGCAAGCTGAGACTGTCCACTTAAAAAATATGTTGTTTTTAACTTTTTTTTACTAAAATCTGCTGCCTTGTTAGCAGCTGAGACTTCCCTAAAACCCAAACCCATCTTCCTCTGAGTGTAATTAAAACTGAAAACATTCTCTTTAGCTTTGCAATCATCCTTATTGTATTATTAATGTGTAATACACACTAACTGATAGTAAATGACCCAAAATTAAGCTAACCGAGGTGGTCACACTGACAATGCAAGTGTAGACTACGTTTTTCAGTTTTGTCTTCACTTTGATGACGTTGCACAACTGTTGTGTTTTTGAATACTTGAAATAAGATTTGAACAAGTGTATAACCTGCTCCATGAATTTAAACCTTAATGCTAAAACAGCAGACATGCTTTTTACTACAAGGGTGGATTGTGTCAAATTGCTGCTGAATAGTTGAATATATTGGTGAAAACATTCCCTTTTATAGTTCCCTGTGGAGCCTAAAACCCACTAATCATCCAGTTTTTATTGAGAAAATAGGAAACGAAAAGATTTTTTTCTATACAATGAAGACAAATGGATGCAAACACCAAAGAGACGAGGAACTATAGGAAGTGAATCATCAAAGAGGTTTTATAGACTTGACACCGACTTGCACTTGTTCACATGCAAGTGTGTGCTTTCAAAGCAACGTGACACAGCAGAACTGTGAAAAGTACTAATCATGTGAACAGAGCAGTGGTGAGGTGACATGTCTGCAAAATCACAGGATTATGTAAAGAGGAACACGAATCAAGCTCAAACCAGCAAACCGGAATGGAACTGGATTTGTCCAAATGACTCACACTAGAGGAAGGAGATGATTTATTTACAACAAAGCTTTGTTCTTCCAAACAGAAACAATCTTTCATTAGAGCTGGCTCATTAATGAGGACACCCAAACCTAACAGCAGCTGCTGTGCTCATATTAAAAGAAGTCTCTGGGCTGCAATGAACAATATTGTTGTGGAACAATATAAAACCCTCGCCTGTTTCAGGCTGACCTACTGGACCAAGGAGGCAGAGAGTAGAGCACAGAAGCTCTTTGCTTTAGTGGTCATAAAACAAGAGGAATCTGCAGCTAAACCAGGCCAACTAAACCTAACATACATGATCATTATTCCTTCATCCTAACAGTATACTGTGATGGTATACTGTATACTGTGATGGTTAAAATAAAAATGATCTATAGATCCTCCATTTTAACCATCTCTCTTTCTAATGATTCAGAAGAGGGAGCCTCTCTCTCCTGAAAACACGAGCTGATTACTGAAGGACTTGTTAGTTTGTTAGCGAGCGTTTCATGTGTTAGATAACACTACACTCAACAAAAATATAAACGCAACACCTTTGCTTCTGCTCCGATGTTTCATGAGATGGATTTAAAGATCTAAAATTCATTCCAGATACACAATATTATCATTTCTCCCAGACATTGTTCACAAATGTAATGATTTAAATTACATGTTATTTAATAAGCCATAAGGCGTAGGATTCCATAGTAAATATGAAATCAAACTTATGGATCTGTGAGGTTATTTTAAACCAGAAGATTGGGACTTTTCAATGCAGGGATTAGATAACAGCTTCGTATTCACTCAGAGACAACAGAAGAGAGAGAGTCAAGTTTAAAAGAATAAAAATGTATTACTAAACAAATTAAACTAGACTAACTTTAACACTAAATGTATGGTGTAACTAAGGTGGATGAGACGGTGAATGGGGTGATGTGGAATGTTGCTCAGAACCAGCAAATCTAAAGAAACAATTAAACCATTCAATTAGTTCTGATGGGAACTGAAGGTGATGTCTTCGCGTTAAGCTTTGGTTAGGAGATTCTTAAACACATTCTACGCCATTTGTTGGTCTGCATACCCTGAGCAGAAGTCCCAGTCTAGATCAGGAGGTGTAAAGGTCCAGCTTGACCGTATGGAGCTGGAGCCTGTAGAAGCAGCCATGGCAGCCGATCACCCGTCTTGAGATACTCCCGGGTCACGACAGTTTTGTTGGCGTCTAGCGAGACCCACTTGGGTCATGATGGTTTAGCTTTTATTCTGAAAGGAACCGTTGCAGCGGTTGTTACAGCAACAGATTTTATCCAGCTTGTCGTTGGTTCATTTGGCTGAAGAGGAGAGTTACAGATTGGCCACTCCGACAACTTCTCTAGAACGCTTTGAACTGGCGTTAAAGATGGCGTGGGCATAGTTTTATACTTCGGATGTTTTGGTTTATGGTCGAATGAAAAGTTGACAGACTTACCAAACACCACCAAAAACACACCTCCGTCAGATCTGGCAGATTCTGATTGGATCAGTGAAAGTAATGTGTCATGTCTTTTAACGCTACGTGAGATCAGTCCTTTTGGAACAATTAAAGTCATATTACTCTTTATATTCTATAGGATTATAATAAAGTAATTAATATTTTGATTTCACAGATTGGTCACATCTTATTTATTAACTAACACTTTGCATGATTAGCTTATTAAAATAGAGTTCTTTGATTAATTAAAAGGAGAGAGTCCATTCATTCTTCTCTTGAGCTGAAAAGAAGCAGTTTATAAGCAAATGCATGAGACTTTGAAGCCATATCTCATGCAGACTAGTTCTGTGTAGAGGAGAGGTGGAATAGTCATTTCATTCCGTTACACAAATCAGTCTAAATGTGTGATAGTGAGCACTTCTGCTTTGCTGAGATAATCCATCCCACCTCACAGGTGTGCCACATCAAGATGCTGTTCCGACATCATGAGTAGTGCACAGGTGTGCAGTTTTGTCTC